AGTTTGTACACTTCGTAAAGGATATTTCAGGATTTCTGTAGCTGTATGGTTGGGAAGCGTCTTGGAAGGACCTTTCTACTTGAAATGCATTTCCTGTATCTAGAGCTGGCTTTAATCTCACGCGGTCTCACAAAACCTGTTCTACCTATTAAATATGCAGTAAAGCTGTTCTGTTTGGTAGAAGATTGTATGTTTAAACAGCAGAAGTCCTCGTTGCTCTTGTATTTTAAAATTAAAAATTCAGCTGCCATGCTACCTTCGGATTCAGAGCCATTAGAATGGATTTTTCAGATTTATTCTTCTGATTATAATACAGAAAATTAATTGCTTTTGACTGTAAAGAATTGACCCATTCATTATTTAGGAACCTTCTTGATGGATGAACATTTTCTGCTTCCAGACCTTTCATGAAATAAAGCTGCTTTCTAAATTGATATAAAACATAATACACCCATGTCAAACAGTGGATGCACAGCACCCTTCTTTAGGGAAGAGAAAAATAAAAGCGTTTTGTCTAGTTTGTCTAAGTATTCAGCATACAAGTAGTGGAGTCTGCTGGGAGAAAACAGGATTAACTTGCTCGAACTGCATTTAAAATAATGTAATTTGGTATTTTTAAAAGGAGGATGTACCAGTTTCTTAAAATGTCCTGGTGGTGCAGAATACCACTTCAGTTCTGCGTGCGTGTGCCACATATTGGAGAGATGACCTTGTGTTGGGCTCGAGATGGACGGCCAGACACTGCTGTGGTCTCCGCTTAGCTCCTTGCTGTGCTTGTGATGCTGGTTCAGAAGCTCTCAAATGATTTGTGTGTATTTAAGTCTTGGTCTCATCCTTTTAACAGGTTAAGAAAGATGGAAAAAAAAAAGAATTTGTAAGACCGTATTGGTTAAAAACAGCAGCAGAACTAAAATATTTTGGTTACCTTTAAGCCTGGAAGTGTTTGCTGAATGCCCTCAGTAGCCAAACCTCTTCAGTCATTCAGCACAGAACTAAAGGCAGAATTCAGTGAATGAGGCAATTGCAGTCAGTTTTTGTTTCATGGGATAATTCCCAGAGCACAGGGCTCTCGATGTCAAATATGACAGGTGAAGCTTTTTAATAGTACAACTGTTTTCCTACTACCTAATGGCAATGAAACTGTTGACAGGGAACAATTTAATAAAGAACCTTTTCTCATGAACATAACTTGAGGCTTTCATGGGCAGATGAAGGCTTGTGCTGAGCCCTGTCCCTGCCCTGCACGCCTGCTGGGAGGAGGCGGGCGGCGCTCGCCTGGGTGTGCTTCAGCTCCCAGTCCGTTTGTGCAGTCCTCTCTGGCCAGATTCTTGAGTCTCAAATTTTTTTTGCAGTTGTCTTAACACAGCCTACGTTTAAAAGCTAGCTGCTAGGGATGTTGATATTTCCTTGTTACTAATTGGTTTTAAGAGTTTTGCATAGTATTTTCTGAGCATCGTTTTTTTTCCTCTTACGCATCCTGCCTTTCCCTGTGAAAGCAACTGGCTTTGCATTTTAGAAAGATGGCCTTTGTCTTAAAATTGGTCTCTTTGAATGTTTAAGAAAATAGGCTTATCATGTGCTGCTTTGAAGTATGAGAAGGATTTGAGGAGTGGTTAGCCAGCTGGCAGTGAGAACCTAGGAGAATTTGTTGTAGCCAAACCTTTTGCACAAGAAAAATGCAAATGCAGCTCAGGCTCAGTCACTAAACTGACTTTAGCAGGCAGTTCAGTGCATGTAGCCACCTTAGAACATCCTGAAACTCCTCCTTTTTCAGCTGTTATATCAAGTCTGTTGGGTTGTGTCTGCAAACTTGTCACTTGCCTACGTGAGAAATTTCCCTCGTGCTGTTGAAGCACCGCTCCTGTTCATTACAGGAGCCCACAGAAAGGACACTCGTCAGGGAGGTGCTGCCCGTGTGCTTCCTGGGCTGCTGCAATTCAAAGCCGGGGCGATGTGCTGCTCGTTTGGCGTCTCTCAGTGGTAGGGGTCTCTTGTCCCTGCACATCTCCTGGCAGGGCACGGCGGTCCCGCTGGACCTGCTGCGCCCCAGCTGCTGCCCCACCAGGGACTGAGGGTCCACGCTCCTTCCCCTGCTGTATGAGCAACTCCTGCTAGTCAAGAGGCATCCAGGCTGAGAAGAGCTCTGCTTCCTTCAGGGAAGCAGCAAGGGCTGTGTGTGATGCAGTTCCAATAAATGGACCAGCCCAAACCTGGCGTGGAAAATGTTGGGGCGCTCTGAGACCCGAGGGATGGAGGCTGCACTCAGTGCAAGAGAGCTTTGGGCACCTCTATTTGGAAAAGGAGGAAGAAAGAGGCGAGTTCAGTTTTACAGTATACACAATTTTAATAACAAAATCTTTCTGTACACTGCACTTTTTTTTTACTCCATTTTGCTCCGTTACTTGTACCCCCTCCCACCAGGAATCGGCTCGTTAACCATAACTTAATTACAGTGCGCATAGGACTCTTAATCTCTGGTTGCCACGCTGGTAGAATAGTTCACTCACTAATGTTTTCATGATGGTGAAAAGAAAAAGTGTGGTGGTTTCTGTCTTTTTTTAACAAAAGAGTAGTTGAAGGCTAGCAGTTTCAGTGTGTACATCACAGGTGCACAAGCCACGTGGTGTTTTGCCCTTAAATCACACAAGTTTTGCCCTGTCTGAGGCCAGATTATATCCATCAAAGCTTCTGTCACCTCTCCCTAGATCTCTCTCTCGGAAGGTTTTTATACCAGACACGAAGTGCTGTGTTTCCAGCTGACTCTGAGATGATCTCCAGGCATCCCGCTGGCACGGTGCTTAAGAAGCCTGGCACCGCTTTTGGTGCATGGGACTGCAGCACAGAGGGCACGGGGAGGGAGGGAGGGAGGAGCTGCTGCTGGGCACTGCCACGGGGTTTTGCTGCTGTTCCCTTGCTTGTTCTTCTTTCTGGGGCAGGAGATGTGCCATGTACCTTCCTGAACTCTAATTTTTATGGAAAGCTTAAGACGAAGCTCAGCTTTCTGGGTAGGTTTCATAGGTCTGAACAGATGGATTTTAATAGCTGTGCAGCTCGCAAAATTAAATCAACTTTATTTCTGTGCTACTTTAATGAAAATAAACTCAGGCACATTAAAAAACAAGCACATAGTGCAGATTTCTGATTAAAGCCACCGGATGTTTCTGTTGCACGTGTCAGCAATAGGGGGCCGTCTTCCAGGGACGTCATGGGACGGGAGCGGAGATGCTGGGGATGCGGGCAGGCTGGGCCTAGCTCTGCAAAATCGGGTAACTTCTGCTTGGGGGAAAAGCAAAACAACCAAACACGGATATGGTGGCATGCATCGTGCTTCCTTCTGGTAGGAAACGGGAGCTCTGCTGCCACTGGCAGAGGAGCCCTTCAGTCGGAGGCTCAGCGCTCACCCGTTTTACTCCTGATCAAGTAATTCCTGGTTGTGTGCGTTTAAAGGATGATCTAATGCAGAGCGACTAACGAGAGGGGAGCTGAAAGCATTAATTCAGACCTGTTCCAACACGATGACTCAAAAATGGAGCTTGTGCTGCTGGGTTTGCATTTCACTGACACGAGGGTGGGGAGGAGGAAGCGAGGGAAAGCAGGGAGGCTGGAGGAGGTCTCTGGGTGGGACAGGCAGGAGCAGGGGAACGAGTTTTCCTTTCTAAAAGGCCCTGAAGGCTTGAAGATGCTGTGCCAGGAGGTGGGGAGGCACCTGTAGTGCCACTTAGGATGGTAGAAACTGAGGCTGTACAACAGAGATGACATTTGGGGAGGACAATTTAACAACCTCTTGTCATCAGGCAGCGCTCATACAGGAATGCTGATAACTTAAGCCAAATCATCCTGGTTCCCATTCCCTAAACAAGGCAATTATTACAATCCCTGCTTTGGAAGAGTCACAAGCCATTGCAAATGGAAGACAGTGACTTAAAAATGAATAAATGAAACAAAAGCTAACAGCCTCTTGTGGTGCCCTGGTGTAGGGTGATGGCTTTCCCTGCAGTTTGCTGTCCCTCCCAGGGGACTTCCAGTTGACTTTGCTGCTCATGTTTGACATCCCTTGGGTTTTGTTGTACCCGTTACCCTAAACGTAATGGTTATGGACTGACTTTATTTATGCCTGGAACCTGGCTACAAATGGTTTGGGAAATGGCAGATGTGAGCCATGGTATTCGGGTACGAGGGGCTTACAGTTGGGATGGGACACAGAAGAGGATTGAACCAGCACTGCCTGTTGGCTGGAGCACCTGTACTGACAGAATCACAATGTGCTAAGGATGGAGAGGGCTTTGGGGGAGTTGGGAAGGCACCTCCTGGGCGCCCTGGTGGAGGAGGGTTGGGTTGGTACCTTTCAAACCGCCCTGCAGGGTGGCTGGGCACGGAGCAGCAGGGCGCAATTCCCTCCAGCACGCGGCTGGGGGCACCGGGCTCTGTATGGACCTGCTGGGAGGAGCTGGGGGAGTAAGATCGTTAGGCTGCCAGCATAATTAATGAGCTCAGTCCTAACTCTGTCTCTGCTGGTGCCTACGTGGGAATCACTCCCCAGAGCGTCTGCTCCCCACTTCCCCAGCACAGAGCGTGGGGACGGCTGGCACGAAGCGAGGGGCTGGCCAGAGGGAAGAGCTGCGAGCTCCTGCTCGTGGTGAGGAATGAAGCAAGGCTCTCCGCAAGCAGCTACATGCACAAAGTTTTTGTGTCTGTCACCTTAGGTCCGGCCTTTTGGATCTCGTGGGATTTTATCATAGGGAATATTCCCTCACTGCCCACCTGCCTCGCCAGATTTATTGTACTAAAATCAGGAATTGACTTCCTAGAAGGGATGCAAATTGGCTCATCGTGTTATGAACAGTTAAGGGGGTTCAAAGTTATCTAATGGAAAACCACAGTCTTCGCTGAACCTCTTCTATTAAAGTACAGAGTCACAGGAAGTAAACAAAAATATTTGCTTTATAATAGGGCACTGTATGTAAAAGTAAAGTGATGCAAATTAATATCTTCAAAACCAGTAATTGAAAAAACCTTTATGTAAAATCTGAACAGAAGTCACACTTATCTTGCTATAATTGCCTTGGACGAATTCATTTCACAATAAAACATCAAACTGTTGTATAATTGCACCCTAAATACCTCACTAAGTGGTAATACAGATATATAAAAGCAGAGTGAAATAGCAAACAGATTTTTATGCAGTGATTTTCTGTTTAAAAAGTTTGCGGAATAGTTTAGTACAACACAATTAGCATACTGTAATTACTGATTCGTTCAAGGTATGTCAACACCGTGAGGAATTTCTCTTCATCTGTGTTTGCTGGTAATCCTTTAACACTGCAGCATTGGACACAACACGGTTTTTAGTTATACATACATGTATATATATACTTAAAAAAAATAAGAAGCCGTCCCTCTGGTCCTTTGAACTTTGGTTAGAATGTTTACAATATTTGAGCAGTTGACTTAAAAATAATGTCATCCTGTGCAGCCCCCCCGCCCGCCCACCCCCGTGGCATCTCCGTACCACTGTCGCTGCATAGATCTGCAAATATTTACATATAATTTCAGAATATATTATAAATAGCAGGATGGTACTTCTGGCTGAAGAAATCAAATTGCTCCTTAGGAATGAGGTGCGTGTGTGTCTCTATATATTTATATATGATTTTTAATGGCATCCTAGTTTAGGTTCTGTCCCGTATCAAGTAAGAAACGAAGCATTTTTCAGTGAACTATTCTATAAACTAATTATATCGTCCTCACTTATCAGAAGGTACGTGGTTTTGAATTGGTAATTACCTTGAATTTTGGAAGAGGAGGACAAGTGAGAGCTTATATTACAGGGGCTAATTCTGTCTCCAGAGAAACCAGCGGAGTTAGTGCATGAAAATAGCTTCCAGGCAAGAGGAAGCCTCAGCCGGGGGGGCAGCGGGGGGACAAAGAGAGGTTTCTTCCTTCCTTCCCTCTCTCTTAACCTCGCAGTTGATATTTACTTTTCATTAAGAAAAACTTGCATCAAGGGTATTTACACATGAAAAGGTGTGGAAATGTTTGTTCATAGGCGTGAGTAATGAGGCTGAATTCATGAAAAGCATTACCCAGTCAGACCAGAGATCCAATGCGATTTAAATGCCTTTAATATTTAGAATCGATCACATCGTACCGAGCCTTCCTAATTAAGCCACGCTGGCTACTTTGCAAGCGCCGGGAGAGTCATCCTGATTAATTTGTGATCGTGTGAACCGCTCCTGTCTGTATTTGCTGTGAGCTTTAGCAAGGTACGTTTAAGCAAGCCAAACTATGAATATGGAGGTAGGAAAACTGTAGTTAAAATAAATTCACCGGTCCCCAATGCATCGAAATCCCCACCTGAACATTTGTTACTTTTTTTTTTCCCCCCCCTCTCCCCTTTTTAGTCTCGAGTGGAAATGATCAGAGGAGGAAAACCTTCCTCCAAGTCTGCCTTTTAAAGTGAGCTGAGCCAGCTGGGATGTTTGGGATCGTACAGCTGCAGGCGAACAAATGCAGTGTATGTTCCTCTGCAGATCTCTGTGCAGATACCCAATCTCCTTCCACTCGGGCTGTTTTCATTAGAAAAAGTAGAATATGGAGACTCCGGTATAAATGTTTACACACAGTCATAGAATTACATAACATGAAACATTGTACATAGTTTGAGGTGAGCATCTTTTTAGACTCTTAAACATTAGGAGTGCAAGTTGAATGTAATCATTGCTTCTTTAACACTGAAAATATTATGGATTTATTTTTTAAAAAAACTTAAAAATACTGCACCACTCCATAAACAATGCTTCCATTAAGTAGCTTGGAAAATTAGGCTTTATGTCAACATTTGTAAAAATTAGAATCTGATGTAGGTCCCCTACAATTTTAAAATAGGTTACTTATCTGCTTTAATTTTTGATGGCATGTAGGTATTATACTTCACATTCTTTGTATGGCAGCTGCTGACACTTGCATTGTCCATAGCCATTAATGATGATGAAGGGTCCTTCGTGGGTGGGTTCGTATTCATTATACGGTCCTTGGTCTGACATATTTGCCATATGTAGCCGTGTTTGGGATCGGAGTTGCCTGTGGTTTTGAATCATTGAGCACTGCCTGATTCTTCTTAATGTGGGAGGGCAGCATTTCCTGGAGATGAAGACTATAAAAATGATAAAAAAGAAAGAAAACAATAAAGCCATTGTCCCTGTAATTACCCTTTGAGTGAAGATGGCATTGTTTGGCTCCGGGAAAGGTTCTTCGGTGGTGACGACCATGCCTGCCGTGGTTGGAATTTCTTTGTCTCCCATATGGAAATTAGAGGAGCTTATTCTTTTTGTGTACTCGGTGGTGGGGACCGCGGAGGTCGGAGCCGCGGACGTCACCCCGGCCGATAAATTCCAGCAAAGCTGAAAGCCGTGCACGGCGTCCAGGATGTCCTCTCCCTGGGTGTGGTCGGGGCTGTGGCAGAGGATGGGGTGCTCCCAGCGGCCGCGGAAGCCGCTCAGCCAGGTGGCCAGGGCGCAGATCTTGGGGCTGCACTCCCACAGATTGCCCGAGAGGCCCACGGTGGTGAGGGACGGCAGCGAGCCGAGGATCTTGGAGTCCAGGGTGGTCAGCTTGTTGTTATCCATGAGCAGGGTCTTAAGGTTAGGCATAGTTTCAAAAACCGTGAGGTCGATGGCTTTGATCTCGTTTCCAGTCAAATCCAGCTTTTCTAAGGTGCCCCAGGTCCACTCCATCCCACACGTCAAGTTGCTAATTTTGTTCCACTGCAAGAAGAGCGTGTGCAGGCTGCTCAGCCGGAGGAAATGAGCAAAATTAATCTTTGTCAGCTGGTTGTGCTCTAGGTGAAGCTCCCTCAGCTTGATTAATCCTGCAAATCCATTGCGAGCCAAACTTCGCAAGCGGTTTGTGCTCAGATCCAGGAACTCGAGGCTACGGCAGTCCCAGAACAGGCGGACGGGGATCGTCCGCAGGGAGTTGGAGCGCAAATGCAAGGTCTGCAGCTTGCGGAGGCCGTAGAGCAGCTCGGGGTGCAGAGAGGACAACTGATTAAAAGAGAGGTCCAAATTCTGCAGGTTAAGCAGCTGGCTAAAAGTTGTGTTTGGCAAATGAAAGATTTTGTTGGAACTTAAGACTAATTCCTTAAGTTTATATAGTCCTTGAAAAGAATCTTCTCTGACTGTTGCAATTTGATTATGATCTAAGTGAAGCCAAGTAAGTTGACTGAAGCTTGCAAATTGATCCCTTTCAAGTTCAGTAATAAAATTGTGCCTCAGTGACAAACCTAGAGAGCCCTTTTCAGTGGTGTTTGGCACTGAGTGAAACCCCTGAGAGTCACAGTAAAAGAGCAGCTTCTCACAGCGACATTTTGGTGGACAAGCCATGCCCAAGGCAGGCAGCATTTTTAAAACCATACTCATTGCATATAGTGCTGCCAGCATACGAGCCCCTAATGGCCACTTGAAATGTAAGCCTGCAGAATATAATTTAGGAAAACAACAAGATAGGATATCCTTATCAGTATACTTTGAACATCACGGTGGAAGATTTCACTGCAGATAACATTTCCATGCATTTCCGAAAAGCTTACTCTAAATGCAAGAAACAACTTACTACTAAGCACAGCATACTCGGATATTACACTTAGGATGAGCCTTTAGCGCTATCACGGAGGATTACAGCGGCACGATCGGAAAACATTTCTTTCACAAGGTTCACTTCAGCAAAACGTGCGTTAGCACCTAGCTGCTGCTGGAACACACAGCCCATCATTCATTAAAAGGTAGAGAGAAAGGCATACACTTACCCATTCTTTTGAGTACATTGGAGGTTGCATTCAGTCGTAGTTTGAGACTCAACGCAGTGAGTCTGGGAAAGGCTCTAATGTAAGATAGCCTTTGAATAATTTACTGCGTTTTAGGGTCCTTTGATATTAGTGCAAAATTGAATCCACGATGCTCTCTTGGAATATTCCTTTTTGAAATCGCTGGCTTGATCTCCTCCGACAGGTCTGTAATTTTAAAATCAATGCTTAATACAAGTTTTCTTCCTCTGTGGCTGCTCAGCTGTTTAATTGAAGCTCACGTTTTCTTTTTCCGCAGCTGTGGGTTCCTTTAGTCCTAACTTGTTGATGGCAGATGGGTGGCTTATTGCTGAGAGAAGCTCCTGGAGTAGCATGAGTGCATTTACTGAAAAGCTTTTCAGGGAAGCGGTACAAGAATGGGTTTGCTTATGCGCTGCGACCACACAGGACTGTATATAGGCTGACGTCACCTGGTGACGTTCCTTTTGTTTGGGTTTTCCAGAAGCTTTGCTGTTTTAAAGCATTGTGCTGCATCCTGTGATCGCGTTAAAGACCACTGATGGAGGGGGAGAAAAATCAACTCCAGGAGTCCTTCGTCCCCGCGATGCGAGGCAGGGGAGAGCCTTGCAGCACCCCGCTCCCCCCCGCACCCTCGCTCGATTCAGCCGGTGCTGAGAGCAGCGCAGAGCTGCGGCTGGGAGCGCCTCGCCTCGCCGCTAGCTGCTGCCGGCTGCCTGTTAAACCTGGCTGCGGGAAAGCAACTTTGGGATGGCGAGTGCACACGGTGTGAATAGGGGATGCTGATTAGCACCAGCCTCTCGGGGAGGTGAGAGGGATTTGGCAGCCCGGAGCTCCGCGTAACAACAGCCTGCCTGCGACTGGGGTCCCTGCAAAAGTGGGAAAGGGGGAGAGAAAGAGCACTCCTCTAGGGGAAGCTGCCGTGTCGGGAAGTGCAGCACACGTCCCCGGAACAAAGGACGGGAGCTAATGTTTCAAATGATGGGAAATTTCTGGAAAAAAAAGGAGAGCTGGCGGTAGAGCACAGGAAAGAACTTAATTGGAATCCAGCTTGACAGCACGCAGTTACAAAACTGGGAAATCTTTTCTCTTTTTTTTTTCCCCTTTTATTCCCACAAGCCCTGACTCCTGTGCTCGCTTGTTGCTGGGCACTGGAGCGTAGGGGAGCGAGTTGGGAGCCTGGCATTCACAGCTGGGGCTCGGGGCAGTTTGAGGGCTCCCTGGCAGCCCCCCTGCACCCCGGGAGCAGGGGCACGGTGCCTTAGCAGCTCACGGGGTGGGTGCAGGAGGTGGCGGGCAGCGTGCACGCTGTCGAGCCGAGATGCATTTGCAGAACCGGTGACCCTGCAAAGCTGGCGGCACGGCCCGGTTCCTGGCTGCTGGTCCCAAACTTCCCCAGTCCCTTTATCCCCAGAGAGCTCTCCTGCGGGACAGCTGGCACCGAGGGGTGTGTGAATAGACGGCATCGCAGCTGTCTGGGGGTTTTAGGATTTGGGTGCGAGCAGCAGCCATTTGGAGAGGCTGCCCTGGCCTTGACTTGCTCTGGGTGAGCCGGGGGTGTCAGCTTCCCGCTGCCATTGCCTCGGAGCAGCTCTCATCTTTTACTCTTGTCTTTTATTTTCACCTTGAGATGTAAAGCGACGGTGCGATGCGAGGCACTTGACGATGTTTGCTCTGTAGCAGCGAGGGATCATTTATGACCTCGGGACTGGGATGAGCTGAGAATAACAAACTGCCCGTGCTGACAGGGGGAGACGATGAATTGTCAGAGGAGGTCTTAGAAGAAAGCAGCCATTTACCTTTGTTATTAAACTTTGGTTCTTCATTTAAACTCAGACTTCTCGTTTTCTGCCTGCTTCTTCTCCCTTCTGTGTCCCACAGTACAAGTAACCCACACTGACTGCAGCACCTGGTCTGTGGCAGATTGTCCCTTCCACAGCATGCCTGAGGAGGAAGCATTAAGTGAAGTGGAGGCATGGAGAAAGGTGAACTGCTTAAAAACAAAGGAAACCCCAAACAAAAAAACACCCCAGGAAAATAATTACCTTTAATGATAAATCAGAAAATGCTAGGTAAATGGACTGAATTGCACCGTCATGGTAACTGTTCTCACATTTGCTGCAGACTGAAAGAAACACACATAAAGAAGTTGCACAAACCTATTCAAAGAGTTTCTCTGTGGTTAACATTCACTGTGCAAAAAATATGCAAACTGAAATCCAGCCTGAGCCGCCAGCTGTCTTGTGGGACTACTGCAGCAGTGTACCTGTAGCTGTGCTTCTCACAGTGCTAAGCTGGTGCAAAACCCTGATTTGAAGCCTTGATTTGAATTTTAATAACGCCTAAATGCGATAACACGATATTTAAAATAACTTTCCAAGGGTGTAATTTAATAAAATGAAAAGAGCTCAGAGATCAAAGGTGGTTGCTCTCCTGTGCCACTCTTCCCATTATTCCCAGGAGGCTGAGTTTAGGTAACTTTTGGAAGGGTTCTGCTTTTTTGCATTGCTGCCTGGTGGTAGGTTCCTCCCACGTGAAGATTGTGTAATCTGGCACGGAGTTAGGAGTTAGTGTTCAAACACGGTAAGTCGCTTCCTTTCTGAAGCTCTTAGTTCTTTGGCCCGTAACCAAACAAGGGCTATTTAGCACCTTGCCAGCAGGTTTCCTGTTTGGGAAACAGTTAACGCGAACTTTATGGGCGCTTTTCTCAGCAAAACATGTTTTTATGCACGCTTGTCGTGAAGTACCAGCTATTACCGAAAGCACGCATCTGACTCTTTTTTAAATCCGAAACTCTCTGCTGATATCCGCGTTGTGCCTTGGGAGCTGCCTGGGGTGTCAAGGTGCAATAGGCTGGGAAGGAACTCCAGCTGCCTGCAGAGTTCACACCGTTGCATTTCTTCGGAGACTGCAAACTCGCTTGCGTGCTGGGGAAAGCCACGTACGAGTGCCATCTGGAGCCTCCCGCCAGAACAGGCGCCTTGAGGTGACAACCAAAATCCTCACGTGTAACACCCAAGAGGGAAAATGGGGGAAAACCAGCTTGTTCTCGAGCATAAGCGTGCTCGGACCAAATGCCTCTCTCGGGGGCTTCTCCCTTGCCCTGCTCGCTGTGCAGCAGTGGAGCTGGTTTCCCTGCTAGATGCGCGCGCTCACAAAGTAGAGCTGCACCCCGAGGCCAGCAGTGTCATTTCGTTAGGCTGACATCTTGTGGAAGCCTTCCTAGCGTATGAAGTACAACAAATGAGCTCATTTGACTCGATGGAGATGTGGGCTGGGCGACCTCCTTGCGCTTTTGGCGTGGAGGAGAGGCCATGCAGCCCCCGTGTTTTGGGGAGCCGTGGCGGAGCTGCAGGAGACTCTGCATTTGTGTCCATAAGGAACTGGGACATGTTCCTGTCTCCTCGACCATCAGGTATCAGATGGGTAAATGCTACTGGAATTCACGCATCATGCTTCGTTGCTTACCCTTCCTGGTCTTGAATCAGCACTGTTGCATCTGGAATTTGTTTGCAGCCCTGCTATGGGGGTAATGAAGGAGTACGGGCGGCCATCCTTCGTAGCCATGCAATTAGGCGAGGCGTCAAGGTGAAAATTAAGCATGTGACAAACGTGAATCCGAGCACTACATCTTAATGCCTCGCCACCAAGCCCTGCTTCAGCGGCCGCACGCTGATGTACAACTTCCCCCACCTGCCCAGAGGAAGGTTTGCCAAGCGCACATTTGTCACTTGTTCAATCACAGCCATTAACCATGGTGCTGCCTGCTCCACCAACAGGCTAGAAGACAATTTGGAGATTACCTGAAGCAGAAATCCCTCTGTGAATGACCTTTTTTTAATTTGGGTAGAGCAGCATGAGGGATGGCTGTGGGGCAGGGGGCACCAGTCCTCAATAGCTCCCCGGTCTTAGGTGAAACTCCGAGATGAATAATGGAAGTTTTTGATATTTAGCTATAAAAACATGGCTGCATAACTGCATCGTAGGACGTGCACTGCTGATCCTGGTCGCTTTAAGATAGCGTTCATTTACTACCACTGCCATGCTCTCCGTTTTTACATTTGTGAATCAGTTGAGGTTGGATTTTAACGTTAGTAGCTGCAGGAAAAACTTGTTTCGGGTTTTGTTTCTGAGTCAGATGGCAGGCCTACAAAGGGAATGCTTTGTTGAGTTAGTGATTCCACTTTGCCTCCTTGTATACAAATCCCCTTTCTTTGCTTTAAGCAATTAAAAAAAAAAAATCGAGGGGATAGCTGCGTGAGCTGGAACAGCAAGGCTGTGACAGGGAGTGCTTGTGTTGCTTTCCAAGCAGCCTAGCCATGGTGGTGGAAGAGCAAAAAATGACGGGGTGAGGGAAACGTGCGATTTTTAATGCCAGTTCTAGCCTTTTTTATGAAGATCTGATTTAAAAGAAAGTAAATTTGCTGCGTGGCTAAGCTAGTTATTCATTGTACTGGGCAGCGCGGTGGTGTCATGATGCAAAATGAGTGGCGTGGTCAGCGTGACCCCATGAAACCTGCTGAATCTGTCAGCTGCTGCCGGCACCGCTGCCTGCGGAGCTCGGGATTCCCTCAGAGCTAGCAGCACGCCGTGCTGGATAGCCAACAGTCCCCAACAATCCCAGCAGCAGCCTGAATATTCGGGGTTTGCCGTTGTCAGTCCTGATCCCGAGCATAGAAGCTGCTTGCTGGGAGATGTTCCTCTCCGTGGCATCAGGGGGCTTCCGAGGAAGTTCAGGCTGGGAACAAGGGCCAAGTTTTTAATAGCAAGAGTAATTGGTTACTGGAACAAATTACCCAGAGGTGCTGAGCACTCACTTGGAGCCTTTAAAGCGTGATTTATTGCTGTAGAGCCCAGCTCAAGCGGGAATTGTTGAGCCGTAGGGTGGAACCCGGGGGTGAAATTCATGGGGCTTGGACAAGGTGATCAGCATGGCCAAGGAGGGTGCGTAACTCCTCCAGGTGCTGTCGAGGGTCAGAGCAGCCAGTGTCCTGGTTCCTCTCAGACTTTACGGGGTGCACGTGGCCCCACAGCTAGCGTGCTGTGTTTAATTTTATGCAAATAATACATATATATTAAAAAAAAGCCAAGCAACTTTAGACTGGCACGACTTGACATCCTTGTCTTCAGGGCAGGGCCTCGCTTAGGATTGGTTTGGTGGTTTCAGGTGGGAATGACACAGGTCCCCTCCGTGCAGCTGCAGAGGGGTGTTTGGTGTTCGTCCTGTGCTCCTGCCCCTGCCCCAGCCCTAGGAAGGTGTGGGGTTAGCAGCTGACTCAGGAGGTGCTAAATTACCGCGGCTCAATTAGCAGGGTGGTTGGTGTCGCGACTGTCCCAAGTGCTCTTAATTCTTTCTGACGAGCTTCTGTGCTAAAATTT